AAATTAAACTGTGGTTTGAGGTATACGTGCTTATACCGTATGAGAAGTCACGGGACCCCACCACATAACTGAGAAAGCTCGAATCATCCGACGATACCATTAAAGGATTAATTTCTATATTCTTGAACGAATCTATAAAATCAAAGTGGCTGGGTTTCAATTTACATAGCTCTTTGTATGGTCTTGTTTGCTGATCAACATTATATGATTTCTAGACATGTTCAATCTGTGCAGCTTCTTCACTTTCATATTAATGTCAATAAGAGCATTTCATCCATTTTTGAATAAATGTGGTTCATCACAAATTGTAGAAATACTCTGAGCATTGACTATAAAATGGAATGGACTTGATCCGTGAGTATTCTCCGAGCAAATCGTCTCAAGTGCGTTTTTGATCGTTGCGCCCTGATTAGAAATAGTGCCAACAACGCACAAACCAAGTCGCTGCTAGTTTGTGATCACATGAACAATAATCGTTTTCAGATCTGGGATTCTTGTATCTTTTACTAGATAATAAGCCACAACCTGCTTATAATTTTTACGAATCCCCTTATCATGGAAGTAAGGGCATGATTTCTGATAAATCACTTTTACAGAGTTCTAGTTGATTTTGTTACCTCAGAATTCAAGATTTATTAGCTGAAAATTGTACACTGTGAGCACTGGGATCAGCCCTAAACTTTGTCCAAACCCTGCAATAATCGTAAACACTAAACAAGGGTAGACATATTTCTAGTTTAACTGCCTGAAGATTTTCTCTATGGTTTATACGTAACTCTCCACCTATTATCTCATTTTTGTACATGTTCTGGGAGAACTCAACTTGCTCCCTATAAAATGCAACGTCTTCCTGCACAGGTGGTTCTGGTTAAGTGCCAGCCTGCTTCGGGTTTGTAATTAGTTGTTGCAATTTTCTGATTTCGTCGTCATTTTTCATAATCCAGATTTCGTTTTGGCATTCCAGTTCAGCCATTTGATCCTGAAGCTCTTTTATAGTAGAATCATTATGGCATCGTATATCTGAGATTTTAAATGAGTGGTTGACCTCACGTTGGTTACTCTCGTCCATCAGACTCTTTACGTCATTTCTCAGTTTAGATTCAAGTTCTTTTAGGAAGCCAATTTCATCTTGCAGTTCAGCAATGTGTGACATCGTTACATCAGTTTGTGTAGCAGCACTTAAAGAATCTTGCATATCTTCGTACTCAGCGTCAAGCATAGCTTCTAAGTCTGCAACCTTCTTTTTGACTCAATATTTTGAGCTTCAAGAGATGGTTTAGGGCTCTCTGATCTTCCTAGGTTCTTCAGTTGAGTACGCAGCATCTCTATTTCTGACTCGTATGTTTTTAGTCTTTTATTATTTTTTTCCAGAAAATCGAGTCTGTATTGCAAGTCGATGAAATTCTTGCGCTTTTTGAGAATTTTTTTGAACTCTTTCTATTTCTTTTGTACGCATCCGTTACTTGGCGGAGTTCCTGACTGTAACGATCGATTTTAGAATTGGCTTCTGTGAGCTGTTTCTTCAGGTCCAAAATCTCCAGCTGATTATCTAGTTTAGTGAATTCTCTAAGCTCATTGAAAGATTCTTCCAGTTCTTTGAGTTGTCTTTTAAGTACACTTGCACACGTCTTCAGCTATCACAGATTCTGCTTCGGCTAGTGCCTCCTCATATGTCTCTTCTTGAATAGGCCTCATTTCACGTCCGGATGATTCTTCTTTGGGTGGATAATTTTTCAATGGCATATACCCTAGGGATGCTTTTTTAGGTGATACGTTGCCATAGTCCAAAAGTATGACGTCTTAATGTTTTTTTCGGTGTTGATGCCGAGGCTCCCATTTGAAAGCGCCCGACAATAGATACTTCCGTTTTTAGTCTTTCTATCTCGAGCAGATACTCTTGTTTGCTTTTCCATCTCTTTAGCTTAATTGCCTGCTTTTTGAGCCGAGTTTCGAGATCGCGAGTCAAGTTCTGATATCCTTGAAGTGCCTTCTGTAGCTGACAAGATGTTTACTTTCGTTTATTTTTGACAGTTTTAGTGCTTTGGGCGAATTCTGTGTAGATCTAGTCTCCTCCTCTGCAGCTAAAGTAACATTCCCGATAATCAATGATTTGGCATTACCGCCAAGAGCCTGTGAGAGCAGTCTAGTCAATTTCGAATCGCGATAACTGATAAACTCCTTCCCCTCGCTTAGTTGCCTTATCACATTTCCTAATACTGACAAAGATTTGTTTATGTTAGCCCCCTCTTTAAGACGCTCACCAGCAGCTTTCGTCAGAGAAACTCTCTCAGAACCAGCTAAGTCCATTAAGTTAAGGTAGCTTATATGTACAGGTCCATCTTTCTGATTGGCATCTTTCGACTCCAGAATAATCCGGAAAATCGTGTGTGATCGAGATGACCTCTCATTCATGCGAGTAGCTGCAACTCGTCTGATCTTATTGCCCTGCATCATGTTCTCCATAACTTTATCAACATTGTCTACGACAGCTTCCCTTGCATCAAGCAGCACATTTCCTTTGATATCTTCTCTTATAGTTAAACCCTGATTGCTCTTATCCAGGAGGTCATTGATCTTTTCATTGTAGATTTCAATATAACTGCATCTAATCAAGTACCTCTTATCAACCTGGTCTGCCACATGCTGGAATAACTGATTGGATACTAATTGGAAAAGCCCAGGATCTGTTTTATTGCCCAAAATGGTGTGTGTTTTGCCAGAAGATGTTTGGCCATATGCAAATATGTTGCATTGAAACCTTCCATGAAGGAATCGACTAAAGGTTTTACTACAGATCCATATACATCTGAATTTGTACATTCCTGTTAAATACATGGTCGAATATATAAACCTCTCCATGGCGACTACTTTCATCGGCTTCCCATATGCAGTTTACTCTTACGTTCCAAAGACGCTCTAGACCATCGGCTACTTCGCGGTGGATCATTGGTCTGATCTTTGTGGCTACTTTAATATTGTCGGAAGTCATTTTGGAAGCTTGAACTGAAATTTAATTAGAACTAGGGCTATTTCACGGGTTATAAAGAGGGGCAGATGTATCAGGTTGATACATTCTTTTTTTCCTCCTTTCCAGTATAGAAGATTTTTTTCTCTTGTAGGCATGAATGCGGTCCGATAGTTTAGTCTTAATTGGTTGCCACGGACTTTAGTTCAGGTAAATGCGTAATAATATTGTCGTCTGGATCGACCAGTTGCAGGCGCTCGTTTTGACCAATTGTACATGTTTTTTCCATAACCATAGCGAGGTCGCCCATAGGAAGTTGTTCAGGTTGATCGATAACAGCGTCGTCCTCGGCGTAATCTATGGTGTATTGTTCATCCGTCAACAACGAAAAAATCCATTGTGAAGGAAGTTCAAATCGTACACGCAACTGACATCCTCGGATCAAATTTGACCGCAAAGTCAACAAACCAACACTTGTGATGTTTAAATTAAACTGTGGTTTGAGGTATACGTGCTTATACCGTATGAGAAGTCACGGGACCCCCACCACATAACTGAGAAAGCTCGAATCATCCGACGATACCATTAAAGGATTAATTTCTATATCTTAAACGAATCTATAAAATCAAAGTGGCTGGGTTTCAATTTACATAGCTCTTTGTATGGTCTTGTTTGCTGATCACATTATATGCTTTCTGGACATGTTCAAGCTGTGCAGCTTCTTCACTTTCATATTAATATCAATAAGAGCATTTCATCCATTTTTGAATAAATGTGGTTCATCACAAATTGTAGAAATACTCTGAGCATTGGACTATAAAATGGAATGGACTTGATCCGTGAGTATTCTCCGAGCAAATCGTCTCAAGTGCGTTTTTGATCGTTGCGCCCTGATTACAAATAGTGCCAACGACGCACAACCAAGTCGCTGCAAGTTTGTGATCACATGAACAATAATCATTTTTAGATCTGGGATTCTTGTATCTTTTACTAGATAATAAGCCACAACCTGCTTATAATTTTACGAATCCCTCTTATCATGGAAGTAAGGGCATGATTTCTGATAAATCTTTTACAGAGTTCTAGTTGATTTTGTTACCTCAGAATTCAAGATTTATTAGCTGAAAATTGTACACTGTAGGAACTGCCGTGACCCTGCAATAATCGTAAACACTAAACAAGGGTAGACATATTTCTAGTTTAACTACCTGAAGATTTTCTGTATGACTTATGCGTAACTCTCCACCTATTATCTCATTTTGTAGTTGAGGCCCCTTCATCTGATAATTGTTTACGTCTTCGTTTCTTTCGTAACCACAATGTTACATTTTGACAGTTGTTCGGTCCTTTCAGTCCGGGAACAGTCCGCTTGTTGTTCCATTGCTCCATTGCTCCTCTCGAACTTTGTGTTCCGCGTCCAAGTTGAAGAAACTTCACTTTTTGGTCGTAGCTCTGTTGAGAAGCACGCATTTTGCGGATCTTTACGCCAAATGAAGTCTAAGCGTTCTTCCTTTTTATGTGGATGTGGGAGACGGGAGTCTTCGACGCTTTACGGCGTTCTAGCCGACCACTTTTAGGCCACACTCCAACAGAGGTAAGCAATTCGGCTTGCGTTAAAATGGAACCCGGCGCCATATTGGATTTTTATTTCAGGCCTTTTTCATCTTCTTCCAACTTTTCATCTTCTTCACCTTACGTTTTCTCCCCAAACGAGTGCTGATACCTTCAGATGAAGCCCTGACGACTTTTCCACGTCCTGCCCCGTAATGAGAGTTCCAAGCAGCCCCTGAGGAAGGGAGCTGATTCAGCTGTTGCCAATGTCCACAGACGCCATGTGCTGAAACCCCGTGGAACTGCATCTATATACTTAAGCAGCTAATTTCACTTAATATGAATTATTTATCCTAACTTCACAGCTGGTGTGATCCCGAGGGTATGCATACCTCATTTGTTACTTTTCGAATTTTAATGTTTGCTCTTACAGAATGGTCAAAAACGCAAATTTTAGTTTTTCTCAAAAATTTCAAATGCATCAACCTGTATATTTGTGCAAGTTTTTATTCAATCAATTTTTTTTATACTAGAGACATAACGGTTTTTACGGCAATTTTTTCGGTTATTTGCACGTCTTTTATGGAACGGCTTAATTCGCAAAAATATCGCTTCGCCTTTGGAAACAAATAAATTGTTGATTAGCTACAAACTATCAAAAGCTTTGTGAGCATTATAATGAAAACGTGTTTGAAAATGAATTTTCTAAAGAATAAATGGTGAACACGTTCGTTTTATAAGCAACGGTACCCTAATATGCGACATCCAAGGCCGGAAATATTTTCCACACTACGAGAACGTTTGAGTCAAGTGAAGAGCAGTGGAATATAGTAAAAGTATAAATAATAGAAGTGTCACCAAGCTGGCAAATCAGTTGGAGGTTCTATTAAAGTTGCAAAAATCCCCATTTAAGTGCACGGCAAATTGGAGCAGAAACTGACATATGCAGAACTTGTATCATAAGGATTATTCATAAGCATAGGTACCATCCATATCACATATGCTTGCATCAGGCTTCGTCCCAGGATTTCGCAGCTCGAATGGGGTTTAGTAGAATAATGCTAAATAAGGTGAGTGAAGACACTACTTTCCGGGATAAGGTTCTTTTAAGCAATGCGGCAACTTTAACAGCATATGTTCTGTCGACAGGCATAAACTATGCGTCGCAAAATCCTTACTGGTTAGGCAAATAGATTTCCAAAATAAATGGAGCTTGAATGGTTGGGAGGAGTTATTGGCAGACAAATTATCGGGCCTTTCTTTTCGACAACAGATTAACAGGTACATATTACTTGAATTTTTGATCGAGTATTTGCTTTACGATGATGTCAACCTGCAAACTTGGATGCATATGTACTTCCAACATGACGGCGCACCTGTGCATTACCACAATCGTGTGCGTAACTATTTGGACACCTGGAGTAACCATCGTTGGATCGGTCGTAATGGGCTATATCTTGGCCTCCTAGATCCAAATATGACATCGATGGACTTCTTTCTATGGGGCTACGTTAAGAGGTTTATGACATCCACCATCTACCCCGAAAATATGAAGTAAGGATTAAGGATGTTTCTGAACATAAGGGAGCACGTGTTGAGAGATGTGCACCTGTTTTATCCAAAAACTACGGCTGTGTGTTCATCATGGTGAGATATTTTTCAGCAGCTTTTGTAGATTAAGTCTTGAGTAGTACTAGCTGTTCGTTTATGTTGTTGTTATAGTTGTTTTTCTCTATTACGCTTGAAGCTGATTTATAGTGTTATTAGTCTTTATGCCAAATTTTTGAGAACACGTACAATTCGCGTTTTTGACCACCCTGTATGAGCAAAAATGAAAATTGGAAGAAGTAAAATAAGATAAAAGCTGAGGTTTTTAAGTATTTTGATACAAAATTCAGCACTCCAAATTTCAAAATGGCGGATTGAGGGGTTGCCGAAGCGGACGGTTTTTCTAGACAAAACACCTCACATCTCAGTAGCTAATTACCAAAAACCCCATAGTATGCTATATCAATCTTCTTCTTTTGAATTATTTATCCAAGATGCAATAAAATTTGAGGCAATCCATTTAAAAAATAACAACTTTGATATGTAGGTCATAATTCTGACAACCTGTATAATTGCCAATATTTTAGAAGTGCGCCCTCAAATGTCATGTATAACATGACAAAATGTATTTGTTTATCAGTAATATTCCGTCCACACATGGATGGGCCACCCAATTACACAGCGTCATATTTACGTTATTAGATGAACTCTCTTGTTGCTGTCCTACTGCACCCATATACATACAAGCAAATAATGACGCCAATTACTGTACTATACGTAGTAGGTGATTACGTTCTAGCAAAGTCTCAGCGAGAGATAATTCCTTTGGTCACGTTTGCAACTCCTTAATACAATACGTTATACTCATTTCGTAAACATGTATTATGATCTATTAACTCCCAATGGTTCTCTCCGCCAATGTAACCATTGCAATATTTTTTTTGAGTATTCGCTAGTTATTTGTCCTGGGAGATGCACTATAGTTATGTTGATACCTTATCTGTTAGTCTACTTACGTCACCGAGCCCACCCTTGAGCTGCAACTCCTGTCCAACACCCGAATGCATCAGGAAATGGGTGGCCCTCACATTTCCAGAGTCTATCTACATACCCAGTAAAAATGTTCGTTGCATGAATAGACTGACCTAATGTGGGACCTGCATACAAGTATTGCAATACAAATAGCCAAACAAATGTAGTGCCACCGATTTCGTACTATAATTGAGTAGCAGACTTTCATAAACGGCTATGTATGTTTCAGATAAATTGAGAAATGTGGCAAAAAATGCCGAAAAGCAGCGCGCAAACATACTACAAAAAGGATTAACCGAAGAATATCAAAATTTCGTTCTTTGACCAAAAATGTATTTTGTTTAATGCGCTTTGTTTGTCCAAATGAGAATCCTTTTGTTTGGGAAGCGGTAGCTTATCCCAAATTATTTTTCATTTACCGATACAATGTTGTCTTAGAAGTACATTAAAAGAAAAACGATCAAACTTTCCCGCCGTCATCTTCGATGCAGTTACATACTCCTTGGACATTTTCTTCATCACTAATCTCTTGCAGTTATTCAAGATGCTCTGAGAAACTTTGAAGAAGCCATTGCAATTCTTCATCAACACGCCATCTTTCTGTAGATAATTGCACTACAGTTTATGCAGATTTTTCAACTTTTTCCCTTTTATTTCATGATTTAGATACTTGGCAGTGGCATCACCTTTGTGTAAAAGATTTCTATTATTACAGCTTCTTGTTGTTTTGGGGTCCGTTTTATCAAGATTCGCTTGCATGACTGATTCGATCGATTTTGTTGAAGGTAGACATAGCGGATATCAAACCATGTGTGCTCTGGGGTCTAATAAGCTTCTCACATCGTCCAAAA